GTCCTTTGTTTTTTTTCGAGGTTGTGGGAGACGTTATTCGTGTCTCATATTATGCCGCAAAAGTGCTTAAAGACCACTCAAAAACCAGAGGTTTTTAAGCACTCATTTCGCATTTTTTAACCAATTTCGCCATATAAGGAGATCTTTAAAGGAGGTTTCTGAGGGCCGGCGATCGGTTCTAATGGTTTTTAATGGTTTTCAGGGATGGCTCCTGGCCTAAAAAAGATATTTGGACAAAATAATCTAAATCTCCAAAAATTATTTTAAAGTTTAAGCACATTTTATTTGTCAGAATATGGCAGTATTATACCCCATAGTAAATATTATAGTGGATTAAGTTTACTCTGTATAAGTACATATCACGATTTAATAGTTGCTCATACTATCGAGCATTAAACCTCAACCCTCTAAAATCTTCATTATAAGTCGTAAAATAACCCAAGAAGATTTGATGCGGGCGAGAATATTTTGTAATATATCAGAAATCGTTGCTACATTGCATCTTTTGATTATGAGGTTGAGTTGTCTAGACGCTGTTTTATGAGCCGTTAAATAAGAGATATATTGCGATTACCGAGCTAAATCGTCAGTAATCAACTTCTGAAGGGAAGCACAATCGGGAAATATACAACACTTTTTCGATTTACTTTTATACAGATGATCACTAATAAAAATATTATCTGCGATTTACACTTCCGTTAACTGATGAAATTGAGTGGGTCTAAATTTTTTATTTCACTTGATGTTTACGAAATCTTGAAAGGAGCTGCTTCCTTGTCATTATTATTCAATCATATTAATAATAATATGGTCACAAGTAAGTAGAATATTATTATTCAATCGTATCGTGATATAAATAGGTTTCATGAGACATGATAATACTGATGTAATGAATGGTTATTAAATCTAAGAAGTGATTATGATATCGTCGCGTCGTCTAGTAACTACTTTCAAACTGTTAAGTAGTTGTACTACAGTATGGTTATATCAGAGTAACTCTGTACTCATCACGCGTACTCATCACGCGTTACTTGTTGGACATAATATTATGATTTGTGAAGCTTCTGAAAAACGTTATAACTTTCCGTATGTAATTTTTCATTGACATGGAATTTTTACCCAGGTTAAAAAACATTCTTTACTCTGCGCCCTTGTTTTATTCGAGTTCACTTGTTTAACAGAAAGAAGAAATCTTTAAGGCTCGCTCAGAGGTCCATTACATAGGGCAGTGGTTACTGGATTCTTTATTAGATCGTCACTGATTAAGATTTCCTTGTTACAGCCAGGAAGGGTGGGATGAGTAACGTTACAGTGTTCCTTAATGTCTGATTACCCTAATTGACACGTAGCTTTCTCAGGACTCTAGACACTTATAACGGCTACTACAACACCTGATATTTAAATTAAATTTCCTGTTACTGAGGTAAAATCACGGTGCAGCACTAGGAGGGTTGCTACTGAACTTGTTCAGTTGTTCTAAGGGGGAGGCGCAAACTTTACATTCAAGAGTTAGGAATATACAAAGTGTACTGGAGCTTGTTTTTATAAGATCATCCATTTTATTTATTTGAATCGATTTTAAGACTGAGAAATATGGATCTTTGAAACTTGACGAGAGGATTCCAAATATCTTTATTTGCCGTGAAGAGCGGTTTACGTTATTTTAAACATAATGATGGACATTACAAACAATGATAATTTTGGTAGCCGTTAAAAAGTTTTAAAACCTGTGCAGTTCCAGTTTTATTAACAAAAATCCGATGATCACATCTTTTAAGGAATCTAGGTGATCATTTAGGTGCATACTGAAGTATTCAGATCACGACATACCTAAACTTAATGTCATGAATTAAAAACAATAAATTGATTAAATTAATCAAATAACCTATGAATTGGTTCAGTTTACCAGACAATATCACTGTTATTAACTGTCGCTCAATCTCTAAGGATTAAAAGTTTTATCACAATCCTTTTTAGTCCAACAATTCTTCTGTAATAAAAAGGTTCAACACCTTGTTAAGGTCCCTCTTGGTGGAGTTCTGAGCGCCATCAGACAGCTACATCATGATACTAACCCCACATGTCCTGATTACCTAGTCCCCAATACCTAGTACCTACTCTATACCCCTATTGTCTGTAAGTAAAAAGGAATTGTCCTGCTAATTCGCCCAATTTGGTCGGAATTACCCGGTATAAGTCAGGTCAGACTGCAGTCCTACATTTTATTACCACCCTATCATAGAACCCTACAGAACTCTAATTATTGAAACTGAGTGAAGCTGGTCCCTTATTTGCCTATGTCTTTCGGAGGCGGTTCCACCTTGTTTTGTCACGTGACAGCGATTAGAAAATCAGTTTACACCATCAACCAATCAGATGCAATTATTCATTCAAAGTGCTACCGCCTTCAAGAAACACATGAATGAGGGGCTGACTGACAGCACTCTAATTGGAACGGACGGTCTGTATGTGCAGTTACATAGCTGCACTGATTGTGCAGCTATGTAGTACTCACTTGTGCTGCTCCTAGCCTCCTTAGTTCTGCAGTTTTATCCTCTTCGCTAGCTGGTGTTGCATTCTTCGCATTGTTGGGATTGCTATTATCGGTTATTCTTGTAATCTATAATTGGTATTTTTGGTTGCTAGTATTGCCGTTCTGCCATAGCATCTATATTCTATGCTTTCAACCGATTATCATGTGCGGATGGAGTTGGCTGAGCTGTGTATTTTGAAATTAAAACCTCGTGATTCGCAATTACGGTTCTCACTTCTCATGACCCAATTAAACTCTTAATTCGAACAAGGAAGCTCAAATTCTCATATCTGTCTCAGTTCTGACGATTTTCACGTTCCATTCCGCTAAGTGGAACCGGGAAATCCGCCTAATTGAGCCACATTATCACATGTATCTGGTTTAAGTATTTCGGGGGAGTGGTGAAAATTAGATGATCGGTTCTGGATTGGCAGGTCTGTTCTGATATATTGAAGTCTGATTGTTCGTGTAGTTCTGTAATTCCCTATCCCCGATTTCAGTTTAGACTTTAGTGATCTCACCATAAAAGAGTGGTTGCTTTCTCTTGTTCTGGTGTTTTGTTTAAACTGACTTGGCCGAATCGTTTAAATTTTTGAGCTCGTGGCTATGAATACGATCTCTGTGGGCCTGTTTTAATATAAATGATGTCTTTGACATTTCTAATTTGTATGACGTTTGCTTCTAATAACTAATAGTATTAACCCTTCGAATATTGTGAAAATATTTTAACCTTTTGAACAATATAGTTGGTGACCAGTCTGTTTTGGTGTAAACTTTCCACAACATGACCGTTGTATGGCCCCTAATCCTCTAAGCAGGTTTCCCTGCATGCCTTCCATGGGAATACAACCCTGATCATATGTCCCAGGAGTTTATAATTTCAATCAGCTAAACAATCACAGAGGTAAATGAAATGCTGATATCAATTTAACCAACACGTTAACATCATTAAACATTAATAATTCCATCATTAAGGATCAGTAATAACATCATTAATCATAATTAAAATTACCCTGGAGCTGGTTTATTACCGTTGGGTACTCATGACCATGTCAATTATTCCGTGGATCACATTGTGACGTCCTACACACTGCAATCTGACTGTTACTTAACAGTTAATGGTGTTCCTGTCATATGATTGGGCAGCTGTATTGAAGTGATCAGTCTAGGTTATGCAATCTTTACGAAGCTGTCTTGGTAGTACAGTAGTAGTAGTAGTACTTTACCGACTCTCATTTCGAAGACTTGTAGTTTTCATTTTTATCAGATCAAAGAGTTCGTAATCGAACAGTCTCAGTCACGTTAATTCTAATAATTCTAAGTGTTTTTTTTTTGATTCCCACGATTTATTGCGCAGCTTCTCAGTACCATGGCGACAGAAAATAAACTACAAGCTTTAGTAAGAATCAGTTTCACTAGAAACCAGCTCACAAGAAATGTATCTTACTTCCCCCGATCTCACTCCCCCCGCCCTCACTCCCTCCCTCACTCCACTAGACATATTGTCTCGCTGCTTGTGTTTAGTCAAGCAGTTACCTGGCTATTCCGTTCTCATTATACCACATTGAGAGAGTAACATTTCTTGAGTGATCCTCAAAGGAGGGGGTTTTAAATGAGAACGTTAACACTGTGATTAGTCAGTTGTAACTTTGTAAGCAAGTTGAGATTTACAAGGTTTCTGTTGGAGAATTAGTATCGCATACATGACGCAGCAAATGGACTTTTCCCCGACTAACGATTGACAAAACTTTTCCCCTTTTTAAAAAACTCTGTTCTTCAAAGTTTCGATTAGTTGAGATTGGCCTCAGTAAAGGTTTTTGTTTGTCTTTTTTCGTGAGTGTATCTCGACAGTTTACGTGCACTGGCCTCAGTCAGCGATGAATAGGATCAGTTCAACAATAATTGTAATTTAGCACATATGTCATCTAAGATGCGTCTGATCTAGGTTCAATGATCAGTGGATCAAAAGCATTTATGACCTAGATTTCATGTCATAATAAGTGGTTTTACCCATTTACCGAATAAAGTGCTGCTTTAGCACAGATATCCGATACCAGGACATATTGATGTACTAAAATAACAGATAATGATCGTGGATAATTATTATAATTCCCCAACTAAATATTCTTTGTACTCATCTCTTTAAAATCTCATAAAGATCATAATTTTGTTTGTGAAGTTTGATCCTTTCTTAACTACTTTTACTTCCATTTGCAGACATCAGTTGCTTGTAATTCATTCAATGATAGGTACGATTATATTATCTCGAATATTGAGGTCTGACAAAGTCTGACTCTTTGTTTTATGTTACAATCTTGTCTCAGCTGTTCTCAAACCCACTTTGTCAGTAATTTGCAAGACTAATTTGACAATTGTCACTTCTAAACAGCCCTATATTTACTAGTTAAGTTTAATCTTAAGTTAATTAGTTAAGTTTAATGATCTTACTAACCAACCTCACACCACCAGCCATGTCTGAAACCCACCACTTGTAACGATTCACAATGCTGCTTCTTCTCCTTCTACCCATTATCAGCTCCTCTGTGGACCAGATAGAGTTCAGAGTACAGGAGAACTCTCCTCCCCGCACTCTCGTCGGTAAGTTTTGGGAAAAGTGGGCTAAACTAAACAGTCATTTTAGTCTTCAGAATGAGCCAGTAACTCTTCAGTAACTCGCCAGTATACTAAACCAAACTTACTTAATGTAAAGTTTGGTGTAGTGGAGACATTAATTCTTAAAATCACGTTTCAATCAGGAACACTGCGCCGAGCAGGAGCTGCTATGTTTACCCCAACTTCTAATATCGAAGAGTTTAGTGTGGATAAGAAGTTCGGAGACATTAGGGTCGTCATCAGCCCTGATAGAGAGGTAAACCAAGTTTCTTTTTTCTTTTCTTTTTTCTTCTTGTTTTACCTTTAATATCAAAGTGATACCGCCAATCTATCGGATCAAGAGTCAGAATTAATAAATTATCCATTAATTTATCATCCTCCAACTTACTCCTTTCTTTCCTCCCAGTCACGTGACAGGTACGAGATGACCGTGGTAATAGTGTTCGACAGTTCTGACGAAATCTCCCGGACCCCGCTAGCTCTATCTGTCGTCATCATAATCACTGATCAAAACGATAACTCTCCTCAGTTCCCTAGGAAAATTATACCCATGGTAGGTTGATATATTTTTTTTGAAGGTACCGCTCCCAACGGTCAAGGTGTAAAATTATTATATACAATACAATTTGAAAATATAAACATAATATCAACACATATTACTAGTCCATCCTGGTATGAGGTTGATGTCGCTGTTCGTGTAGGTTGATATATCATATGTAATATAACCATGTAAATTAACAAATTGATTAGCAAAATTATGAGTTGTCTTAGATCATAATGCAAGCAGAGAACGAGTGCCCTGATATCTGTTTTGTAATTTTACTTCTTCCCCATTTCATGACTGTATTTTCTCAGACGATAACAGAGTCGCAGCCAGTAGGGTTCAAAATACCACTAGACCCTGCAGAGGACCCGGACCTTGGCACTAACAGTACCCAAACTTACCAGATTATCAACGAGTAAGTTATCTTATTGCTTATCTTTCGAAATAGCTCAAATTAGATCTTCATTGATTTATTTCACTGTCAATTTCCGTCACGATAAATCGGAAATTGCCGATTTTACAAACGACTTTTTAAACCCTCCAACTTGTGCACTACAGCTGTATCACTCAGTATTAACAACTCAAGTATTAACCATGGCAGTTATAGTACTTATTATGAAGTTATAATTATTATATTAAGTTATTATTATTATATTACTATAAAGTTCCTTTTTTCCTGTCCTAACTTCTATAGTTATAGTACTTATTATGAAGTTATAATTATTATATTAAGTTATTATTATTATATTACTATAAAGTTCCTTTTTTCCTGTCCTAACTTCTATAGTTATAGTACTTATTATGAAGTTATAATTATTATATCAAGTTATTATTATTATATTACTATAAAGTTATAATTATTATATTAAGTTATTATTATTATATTAAGTTATTATTATTATATTAAGTTATTATTATTATATTACTATAAAGTTCCTTTTTTCCTAACTTCTCTCCACCTCAGAGGCTCCCCGTTTCGTCTGGAGCAGCAGAAGCTGGGATTTGACGACCAGTACTCTTGTAACCTGGAACTAGAACGGTCACTGGACAGGGAGTACAAGGACTACTATGTGATCGAGATTGTAGCGAGTGATGGAGGTAATCCTAGGAGATCTGATAAAATGACACTTCAGATTAAGGTAGGGTTACAGCTGTTGTTTGTGTGACTAATGATGACTTAGTTGTGACTTGGTGTTGTTTGTTTTGCCTGCCAGGTTGATCTGCCCAGTTGATCTGTCAGTCCACGTTAACTCGTGACTTTATTTCTTTATTAGGTCACTTTATTTAGAGTTTAAAATTTCTGATAATTCCTTATATGCGACCAAGGGAAACTGCTCTTTTCAGGTTTAGTAAAGGAAACTATTAGATCATTTTATCACGTGACTTAATTTCCTTATTAGGTAACCATATCACGTGACTTAATTTCCTTATTAGGTAACCATATCACGTGACTTAATTTCCTTATTAGGTAACCATATCACGTGACATGACGTCACTTGCCTCCCATCAGGTAGCTGACGTTAACGACAACACGCCCCAGTTCAACCAGTCCATATACCGGCCCTCAATCTTAGAGAACGCTCCTGTTGGAAGTGTGGTGTGTACGGTGCTGGCTTCTGACAATGATAAGGGAGATAACGCTAAGATTACCTATCTTATCGAGCCGAGGTAGGAATTCTTACCTGTACGATTATAATGTTATCAGTAAATAACGGCGCCTATCTTATTGTATTGTAGTAAAATGAGGAAAGGCGTGGACTTAAAAATTACATAATAATAATGTATGTTATCAATGTGTGGACTGTGGATTAATGGTATCTGTTTAATAACCTTATTATATGTATTATATTAGTATATTACTTATAATTAATTAACTTTTATCTCTGTACCAGGTTCAACAAGGACGGTCTCTTCTCAATAGACCCTGACACTGGTATAATATCACTATCCGGTTCCCTTGACAGAGAGACTTCTTCCTCTCATGAGCTGGTTGTACGAGCTACTGATAATGGTACGTTTATTTGTTTAGTTGCATTCGTGTGTTATACTTCACGACATAATAATGAATAATTTGGTCGACCGCAGTCGGGGAGCCGATTTCCCTGTCTAATTGCATTTCGGCCACGGTCCTTTCGGTACAGATTTCCCTGCAGTATAGTCGGGACGCAACCCCAGGCGACATAAACTGAGTGATAAACTCATTCTCAATCTTTACAAACTTATTAGGTACTAATGTTTTGAGGTTATTATTGATTACCAGAAGACAAACAAATAACTTTATCCGAATATCTCATAGGAGAGTTCCCGGAGAGAACAACAGTTCGAGTTTCAGTGACAGTACAAGATGTTAACGATAACACCCCTCAGATAAATCCAACATTCCTTTCACAGGTACCATTTTTTATTTCTCTCGTGATTAAATACTGATACTCTGGAAATCAGGCCTGCAAACCGATAAAATTTGTAGAATAATTTAGTTGTTGACTTTTGACTCTTTAAGTATTGAACTTGAGAATTCTCGGAAGAATTTGGGGCCCTACATGAAAATGCCACCAGTCGTGAATTTATCGCAAGCAAAACGTTACAAAGTCATTTGTGGTAATTTAACATCAATTACATCGCATGAACATGTGGGAAGATTTAAACGTGACCAAGTAATCGTTCTGCTACTCAACCCTCAAAATAACAGCAACAGCATTTGGGGAGGATGATATTGATAAATAGTACCATTAGATAATTGATTAATTAACTAGCTAATTAAATAATTACCTTTACAGGAGGACGAGGTTGGTATGGTGTCTGAGGCTAGTAAAGTAGGGGACTATGTAGCGCACGTTAATGTAGATGACCTGGATACTGGTGACAATGGAAAAGTAGAACTCACGGTTAGTGATAGAACTTAGACAATTACCTTTGAAAGCTTTCTTCAAATCAATTTGAAATTGTATTTAATTTTATAGACTTAAACTTGAAAACATCGTATCCTGATGAATCATGTTGTAAGTAATTGAACATGATTGTCCCCCTCTACTCTCTAGTTACACGGAGAAGGAGCCCCATTTGAGATAGTTAAAGTAGGAGCAGGGTACGCTATACAAGTGTCAGGCCCCCTGGACCGTGAGTCGCGCGACACGTGGCACGTGTGGTTAGAGGCGCGTGACGGTGGTGTCCCCAGCAGGGTCGCTCACAAGAACATAACTATCAAAGTGGTTGATGTGAACGATTGTGAACCTGTTTTTCAAGAGGCAATGTACAGATGTGAGTAACTTTCTAACATTATACCCTCCTTGTTTATCGAAATCCCCTTTTAGTCTTCAGGTTTCGATTTAAGACTTTTTTAGACTTTGAATATCTGGGTTTTCAATTAGTTTATAATATTTTAAAGCTTTATCTGTAACTACCAAGCTGACAATAGTATCATTATTTTAGGTAACGTTAGTGAGATTGCAGAGAAGGGTACTGATATCGTTCAAGTGACTGCCACTGATGAAGACTTAGGTCAGTTTTGTTCATCCACTTATTGCTCCACTTATTGCTTCAAGAAAAAAACTATACATTATATTAACAGATTTTCGAATAGAAAGATGTTTTACTGATGAAATCACAAAAGAGGAATTTCGTACTTAATTAGTGATATCGATATGTCAATACGTAATAATTTAGATACTATCGATATGACATAATATTCTATTTTCTGCTGCTTACATAGACTATCGTAAGTCAAATTGCCAATGACACTCGACTATTATTAATCTAACCGATAAAATTACAACAGTTGTTTAATACGATATTAAAATTACGTATTTTTCCGAATTCCTCGTTTTCCGTCATCTCAACTTCCGGACTTAAACTAATTTTCTGCTATGTTCCAGGAGTCAACGCTGAAATATCCTACAAGATAGTGACAATAACAACCATTGGACAAAATAACGGGGACCTCAATACACCGATCAGGTACGTTGGTTTGGTTATTAATTACGTGACTGGAGATAGGAGATACCTTAATTCCCAAAAATTTGGGCGACAAAAAATTTGAGCGGGCCTCTCGCCCAAATTTTTTGCAGACCAAATAAATTGCATAAATCTTTTCCGTCTGCTAAATTTTTTGCTAACCAAACTTTTGGCATTTAGCCTGTGGCCCTGAGATCTATAGAAAGATGGCTTTTTCTTCATATCCAAGTGAAATAATATTTGAAATTTTAGTTTTCTAATCTGTCATTCATGGCTTAACCAAGTGAAATGACAGATTTCACTAAAAATGAACGATTTTTAGTGGAAAATCGTTCATTTTTCGAAGAATTTGTGCCCAAATTTTTGGTCGCCCAAATGAGTTCAAATTTTCTGCCCAAATTTTTCGGGCTCAAATAAATTGTGCTCAATATAATGGCACACAAATTTTTGGGAACTAAGGTAGTAACGTTTCCATATAATATGGTCGTCATAACTTATGAAGCTTGTTAAGTGCACCATGTTTCTCTTTCTCTTTCTTTAATGTCATATAATTAAAATATTTGGGTGTGCACTGTGCATGACCCAAAACTTCCTTTTAATGACCATATTTTGTTACAATATTTGGTGGAGTGCGCCAATTCCTAGCGGACCTGCGGACTGCGGGACAAGCTGAACGTCCGAACAAGCATATTGCACGGAATATTGTCGTTAATTTGTCTACTTTCCTAAACGATATTCTCCATTCTTTAAACTGCTTAACCTTTTCACGTAAGCAGTGTATTTAAACCTCTTGTCAACGCGCTATTATATTTACACGGCGTGTCAAACCACAGGTTATTATTATCGTGTGCCAGGGAACATTCTTTGTGAAATTCAACATTCACTGTGATAAATCGATTGGGCCTTATATGGCAGTGCATTTTCAATAATCATCAATGGCTATTGGCTATTCACAAAGACCTGTCCTCTTGGAATTGTGACAAAACTCTTCGTAATTACCAATGTTATTGAGACTTTTCGTAAATCGCAATAATTGATAAAGATTTCACACAGTATAATGAATTCAGTGTGATTTCACCGACTATAATTTCAGTTTCTCCATCAACTCAAAGACTGGTGTGATCAGTACAGGCTCTCAGATAGATCGTGAAGCTAGAGAGTCTGTAAAACTCACTGTCGAGGCACAAGATGGAGGCAATCCTACCCTAAGGTCGAGATGTACTGTCATTGTCGATATTATCGATTACAACGACAACGATCCCAGGGTAAGTTTTGGTAGTTGCTTTTTTAAAGTTGCAGTTGAACTTGAATTATTAGTTTTCGAGCGCGATTAAAGTTATCAAAACACGTTCCCACGCCGGGAATCGAACCCGGGTCTTGTGGGTGAAAGCCACAGATGCTAGCCCCTACACCACGTGGGAGATATTGTTGGAGGGTTTAGTTGGAAGAATTTCTAAATTGAAAAGCATCGGATATATGTAGCTTCATCGATGAAATAATGACCATGGACTTGTCAGTTGTCATCTAGGTGTCCGAACTATTATTGGAAAGAGAAAATAACACTTATTTAGCTTCAGATTTTAACATTCACGCGATTAGTTATTACATTCTCTTCAAAATACGTTATCTACACATCAGCTTCAGGGTTACATAACTCCACAGTCCACATTATTCGCTGCTATTAGCTATATGATAAGTATCGAGGATTAAATAATTTATGCTGTACTCTTCTGAAATTGAAAGTCATTATCCACTGATAGATAATTGGTGTCATCAATTGTACATTACATCATTTCTCTGAAAAATCATTGTAAAATAAATTGTGGGATTGGCAAAACACGTTCCCACGCCGGGAATCGAACCCGGGTCTTGTGGGTGAAAGCCACAGATGCTAGCCCCTACACCACGTGGGAGATAACAATATAAAGTTTAGCTGAAAGAATTCATAAACTCAAAATCATCGAAAATAGCTTTAATAATGAAATAACGCGATATGATATCTAGTTGTGCTTAATATTTGACAGATAAAATACCATTACTTTTGGCTCAGATTTATGTATTCACGTGATAATTTATTAAAGTTCTAAACCTACACAGTGCTATGTAGTTTCGGAGCTACATACCTAGTATATAGTAACTACACAGTTTTTGTCACTTTACCCAGAATGCCACCAAAGATTGGTCGATACGTTTATGTATGCTCTCCTCTTTTGAAAGTCATTATCTATTGATATGTATGTATAATTTATTTCATAGATTGTACGTTGTAGTCATTCTCTGAAAAACTTTATGATTTTGAAAATTATCAAAACACGTTCCCACGCCGGGAATCGAACCCGGGTCTTGTGGGTGAAAGCCACAGATGCTAGCCCCTACACCACGTGGGAGATTTGGAGAAAAGGTTTGGCTGGAAGAATTTCTAAAAATCATCGGACAAAGGCTGAAGCTATATCGATGACATAACGCTTTAACGGCTGTAGACTTGTCATCTAGGTGTCCATTGTTACTTAATTTAGGCTTTCCCTTTTGAAGTCATCATCCACTGATATGTAATAAGTGTTCATTCTATTCTTTCTCTGGAAAATCATGTAATTGTAAAATAAATTGTGGGATTGACAAAACACGTTCCCACGCCGGGAATCGAACCCGGGTCTTGTGGGTGAAAGCCACAGATGCTAGCCCCTACACCACGTGGGAGATATAAAGTTCTAGAATAGAGCAAATTTAAATTCAATAGCATTAATTATAACAGATCGATGACATAACCGGCAAGGTTCTCCAAAAGAGTACGACTATTGTGCTTCAGATTACTACACTAATGCTACACCCACTTATGCTATGAAGTGTTTGTTCTCATCGCAATATGTAGCCTCGTTAGTGCAATGCTCTCTCAAAAAGACATCACTAGAAAGTGTTTGTCGCTGTTCTCAGTATGCTACCAATTATTACGCAATACTTGCTCTCTTTTTGAAAACTCATTGGCCACTGTATTTAATGAGAGTCATTAGATTGTAATTGAACTCTCACTCCATAAAGTCAAATATCTATTTGGTCACAAAATAAATTGCAAGAAATATCAAAACACGTTCCCACGCCGGGAATCGAACCCGGGTCTTGTGGGTGAAAGCCACAGATGCTAGCCCCTACACCACGTGGGAGATGATTTCAATGGAAATAGAACAACTATATATATATTGTATTGACACATGGCGGATGTACAAATTAGCGCGCCACCATATGATTATATTTGAAGAAAATGCGACTGTAATGTAGCCGAAATAGCTCAGTTAACAAATTAGCGCGCCACCACATGAATAAATAAAATGCAAGTTTAATGTAGCCGAAATAGCTCAGTTAACAAATTAGCGCGCCACCATATGAATATAATTGAAGAAAATGCGAACATAATGTAGCCGAAATAGCTCAGTTAACAAATTAGCGCGCCACCATATGAATATAATCAAAGAAAATGCAAGTACAATGTAGCCGAAATAGCGCCACCATATGAATATAATCAAAGAAAATGCAAGTACAATGTAGCCGAAATAGCGCCACCATATGAATATAATCAAAGAAAATGCAAGTACAATGTAGCCGAAATAGCTCAGTTAACAAATTAGCGCGCCACCATATGAATATAATTGAAGAAAATGCAAGTACAATGTAGCCGAAATAGCGCCACCATATGAATATAGTTGAAGAAAATGCAATTGTAATGTAGCCGAAATAGCTCAGTTAACAAATTAGCGCGCCACCATATGAATATAATTGAAGAAAATGCAAGTACAATGTAGCCGAAATAGCGCCACCATATGAATATAATTGAAGAAAATGCAAGTACAATGTAGCCGAAATAGCTCAGTTGGGAGAGCGTTAGACTGAAGATCTAAATGTCCCTGGTTCGATCCCGGGTTTCGGCAAGCTTTTATCTCCCACAGTTATATTATGTTAAATTCATTCTAATTTTATTCAACGGTCAATTACTGCTTCCAAGTTAACGCAGCTCTATGATACGTGATCAATGGATCATCGAGCATTCGAAAGGGTCTTACTGCTTAGGTAGTTTAGAGTTTATTGGTAAACCCACAATACAAGAGAATTCAGAATTCCCAACTTTTATTAATCAAATATGGTTTTTTTTGTTACTCTTTCGATTACTCTTTTGTTGCTGGTATCATATATGAGGTACACTAATTACAGCACTGAGCACTACAAATCTATTACATTTATTGAGTATTATGACGTAATGGGATGGAAAAGTTTTAACCAGGTGTACCTAGTCCACACCCTAGCTCTATAATATGAAGAGTTTGTTTCCCTTCTAGATGAAATGAAAAGCTATATTGTACACTTCTGTTGTAAATTGCTTTCTGAAATCGACGTCACGCCGGCCCCTTTTATACCATAGCCGAAATAGCTCAGCTGGGAGAGCGTTAGACTGAAGATCTAAATGTCCCTGGTTCGATCCCGGGTTTCGGCAAGCTTTTGCCCGAAAGTGTTATTGATAAGAGTAAGCAATGTAATGATTATACCGAATTAATTGGATAATTTTTCATTACCAAGTCCACTCGGATGTTGGTACCAGATCAATGGAATCCTACCTTTGTATCGGTGTGTACACTATTAATATTTAATGAGGTTGAAACTTCTTTCTATGTCCACTTGTTTCTGAAATCGACTTCAAGCCGGCCTCATATATCTCGTAGCCGAAATAGCTCAGCTGGGAGAGCGTTAGACTGAAGTTCTAAATGTCCCTGGTTCGATCCCGGGTTTCGGCAGTCTTTTGTCTAAATTATTCATGATATTAATTAGGGATCCCGGGAAATTTGTCGTTATATTCTCCTCTCATTCAATTGATCGGCTACTTCTTATCTCAAAGCTTCTGCGATACTGTTACATATTGTGATCAATGAGATAATGCCTTTTCCTGGGCGCGGTTCATTTTAGAGTCTACAAATTTGTATCTAGAATTCTAGAACACACATATTTTTACTTGACCATTTTCCTTATCAGTTTGCACAGCGACACTACACGACCCTGGTGAGAGAGGACGCTATGATTGGTTCGGAGGTTCTGACAGTTCATGCTACTGACGCTGACGCTGGCGGTCTAGCCCCCCTCACTTACTCCATCAAGGATTACTACAGTGCAGCTAGGAGCGTCTTCGCTATTGATCCGTTAGTTTGAAAATAATTTGTCAAACATTTTTAGTCTCTTCCTCAATACTGATGAGTATTTACCGGTGCATTGCCCGATACCCTAATCTAGCTAATTTTGATACTTTAAATTTTAAAACGACCTCTAAACAGTGTTAATGTTTCAGGAGTACGGGTGTTATTACAACCTCAGCTGATCTGGATTACGAGCAGCAGAAGAGTTATAACCTGGTGGTTGAGGCTCACGACCATGGTGGACGACGGGGCGTTACTTCTGTCGAGGTCAGCTTCACTCTTGTGTGACCCGATTATTCCGATTAGCTGTTCAAAACACTATGAAGATATTCAATTTTCATTGTAACTCCAACTTTCAAGTAGTTTATTTTCGGTTCTACCCTCTAATCTGACCCCAGGTATTGATAAGAGATCTGAACGACAACAGTCCCCAGTTCTCTCAAGCCACCTATAGAGCTAGTCTCCTCCACACTGTCCTCCCCGGCACCCTCGTCACTAGGTCAGTCTAATCATATTTTCTGCTTCTTTCACTTTTACTTTCTAGTTTCTCTCTCTTAATCTTATTTTATTCCCGCTTTACAATTACCTTCTTGTTATAGTGTTATTAACCCCCGTATTTTTATCAGAGTATCAGCGTTTGATGTAGATGCCGGTCTAAACGGAGTGGTTTCCTACAGTATTCTCCAGGGAGCCGAGATGTTTGCCATTGAGCCCAAAACTGGTTTTATCAGAACTGCTGTGTCACTACGAGGTAATTATCTACTAATTGTATTGGAATCTATTAATTAATACGAAAAGTATCACTGAATGAGCTTGAAAAGAGTTTGTATTGTGATTTTGATCTCCTGTCGAACACAGTACTTGATGACAATATCAAGGTACAGTGAGACTAAGTGGTATTTTCAGGTCAAAGCTGGCACCCCCAACTTTATATCTCAGAGGGTACATCATTGAGCAAATTTTGCACAAAATCTAAAAATCTCGCATGAATTTTAACGGTACCACTACCAGATCGTCAAAAAATTACATTTCAGGACAACTTATTTTGACTGTTAGAGCAACTTTCAAATGCAACCAAGCCTATGTTGGATGCTCGTTATACCTATTCTAACAGACAATTTATAACTCTTATGTACTTCTAAATGTACTCTGATGTACTCTCAAGTGTACTCCTAGATGTTGCTCGAACCTCTATTAGTAATGACAGTCGGATATTTAAACAAAAGTATGTTGCCCCCAATATATATTAGAAATGTTACTGTACCCGCTCTGACTCTAACCCTCTCTACAGGTCTTACAAACGTAACAGAGCGGCTAATAGTACAAGCAGTAGACGGAGGCAGTCCTCAACAGAGCAGTGTCTGCAATATACTGGTGCTTATCGGCAGTCTCAGCACTATCGACCTCAAACCTATATTTACCAGCCAGGTTTGTAAGAGATTAATTTGGAATTTTAGGAATGTTGAAACTTCAAGAATCTTGAGCATCGGACGAGCTTTTGAGCTGTTTATTAAATAATAATCCTACTGAGGATTGACGTTGTTTAATGTTACGAGAAGTAAAACCCTTTGTTCCTCCAGGAGTACAGTATAGATGTAGCTGAGTCTCTAGAAGTTGGACACGTGATAACCACCGTATTCGCCAGATCTCCTGATCCCGACTACTCAGGTACGACTCCTCTTGATTTTAAACAACATTTAAACAACATTGTCCGTACACCCGGGGATCTGCCTTAAACGATGTTACCTGATACCCTCAAATACACCCGAACTAAAAGTGATAATCTCAATGTCTACTCAGGTTCAATAAAGTACACGATCAGTAAGTTAACACAGCAAGTACACGACAGCTTTACTATCGGCGAGGACTCTGGCCGAATTACCAGCAAGTCTACTCTGGACAGAGAAACTGAGGATTTCTACAACTTTGTGGTGGAAGCTACTGATGAGTTGGGGAGACAGGGGATGGCTGCTATTCAGGTTAGTTCCGCAGAGGATATGAAAATTATTTTTTGTTTTATTCATGTGGCACCAAATTTTCAGATTTATATAACTAATGAAACTAAAACAAACTCAAACTTCATGGTGTTCATTCTGCAGGTTACAGTAACTGATGTTAACGACAATAAGGCCCAGTTTTCTGCTACTAGCTACCATTTCTCTGTCAACGAGAATCTTGATGAAGGAGTAGTTGTGGCGCAGATCACTGCTAGTGATCTCGATTACGGAATAAATGGTACGTTTAGAAAAATTCTCCTGATGAAACTTGAAATATATTTCGACGTGAAGAATACAAATTTCGAATTTAAGGAAGAACACAAGGAAGAACACAACGTGACCTTACATTTATGTTATATTCAGTTATTTATTTATTTAAGCGAGTCACTAAATAAACCTCCTCCTCCCTAGGTTTAGTACAGTACCTGATAGTACACGGAGAATCAGACCTGCCCTTCAACCTGGACTCCTACACAGGGACCATATATCTAACGGAAGAATTAGATTTCGAGACAAGAACCAGTTACCAGTTCACTGTCCGAGCGTTCAATAAAGTGACTCCTAACTTCTATCAGGAGACTCCTGTTAGAATCAGTGTTTTGGATGTTAATGATAATTCACCACTCTTTGTCCAGTCTCACTTCCACTTCAACCTTCTAGACTCTTCTCTTGATAATGCAGCTGTGGGGGTTGCCATGGCTACTGATGCAGACAGCGGGAGAAATGGAGATGTTTACTACACATTACAACCCACAGTCAACAGCCATCTGTTCGAGTAAGACAACTTTTAGTGCAATTGAGAAACTGATTGAATTCGACAGTATTTTGAGCTAAATTAGGGAGCTAAATTTGAGCCAAATTTAAAATATATTGTGTGATATTTTGTGATAATATGAAATTATCATGTGATAATATGAAATTATTACAGGGTGGACTTGAAGACAGGAGAGATCAGAACTGCTGTGGTGTTTGCAAACAGAGCAGATCTTCAGGAGCAGTATAATCTTAAGGTATACACTCGCCCTTCAGCTAGTCCTACAGCCAATAATCAATTACACTGGCATGAATAACAACTGTATTAGATAACAACTGTGGCCTGTAGTAACCATATAAGTTAACAATCGTCCCCAATAACAACTATGGTTAGCTAACAACTCCTGTTCTTCAGGTGCTGTGTCGAGACCGCGGTGTGCCCTCACTAAACTCCTCTGCTCTTGTTACTGTCGAGGTTTTGAGTACTGGTCAGGTGGTCGACATTCTTCAGCAGGTAACTCTTCACTTTTATTCATTATTTATTTATCTGCAGATCCTTGATATACTACGGTTGAAAAGTGTGTAAACGTTGGTTCTAATAACTGAACTAATAACTTGTAAATATGGGTGATAGTTATGAGTTAGTTATCCATGTTCATATTCAGGTTTTATCGAATGATGCCATCTCCCGCAAAGCCAAGTATCTGATCGTATTCTTCGCTGCTGCTTTCCTCTTCTCAACAGTTGTCCTAGTGTGTTTCATCAAATACCACAGAGACAGGAAATCTAAGTACAGGAATTTAACGCAAATAGACAGGTTAGCTTAATCTCTACGTTTGTAACTATCTACTTCAATTATCAAAACTTAAGACTATTCATCAAAACAAAATTACAGACTGCACGAATTTGTCACATACACCATTACTGTTACATACAATGTATAGTGTATACAATGTACACAATGTACACACAATGTATGTCCACTAATGGAATGTCCCTCCCCAGGAAGTACGACCCACCACCCGCACCCGGTCCTGCTCCCATGAAATCCTCTGAGAACCTAATGAGTCTAGGGGGAGGTGAAATGATGGGACTCTCCTCCGATACGCTCCTCTCCAGACCCCCCAAATCCACGTGCAGCAACAACTACAAATATGTGGAATGCGGCAGTTACTGTCCTTCTATACCTGAACGAGAGTACAGCCAAGAAATCATATCTACCAGTTTCTTTGCTGATAACAACCATAAGACGAAGTTGTCCAGGGAGTCCCTCCCTCCGCCTCCTCCCCCAAACATTCCCACCTTCAGCTCCAAAGAGTGTTTGAATTTTAATCCTTCCATCAGTTCTAGAATACCCGAGACTTTGCTACCTGATTCACAGCAAGTCACTTCTCGGTCAGATTTGGGGAGTAGTTATGATTTGTCGCCCGCTTGTTCCAATAAACAATGTCACGATAACCGTTGCCATAGCAACGAGTCGGGTGTAGCTAGTGGACTTGGTTCCACGCCGCCCACCAGTGAAATTAACTTTCTTAAAAAAGAGCTGGAACTGAGAAAGGACTCTTGGATGTCGAGCGACGATAGCTTGTTTAAAGTTAAAAACCCTGCTAGCTCCTTACAGAGTCTTCCAGGACAAAAAGTAAATTTAAATGATAAAAGACAAGTTCGGTTCCAGAAACTCAATGATAGCTATGTGTAGTCTGGTATTTTTAGATTTTGTTTTTTTGGTACAATTTTAGGTTATGGCTCACTTTAAAATGAGGTCCTATGACTGATACTGGTATATAGTGTTGTTTTAGGTTATTTAACAGTATGTATACAACTTTTATTACCAAGCACTGCTTTGAATCAATTGTATCTACCATTTGAATTGGGCAAAGTTAGTGAATTGGAAACTGTTCTGAAAACAGGTAGATATGAGTCAAAGCATCTTCTAGAGTGTACCTATTTCATTGTTTATTGTTAATTATTTGTAACTTTTTTCAAATTGGTAACAGGATTGTGATTGTATTTGTTTAACTTAACTTAATTATGAGTTGCCACAGGGATATTTCCAACTTTAGGTTCGTAAGAAATAGCACATTTCTTTATCTAGGAATAGAAAGAAAACAATTGTTGCAAGTTTTATTACTATGAGTTTTTTAAATATTCTTAAGTCGGGATTATACCGTCTTTAAGCCTTTGCCTGAACGATGAACTTACTAAGGTTTCCAACTAGAATTATCTCCTTAAAATAATAGTATTTGCAAAAAACTGAATTGATTGCAATTTTCCCTGGGAAAATTTTTCCCAAGACGCCCATGACCTGGTGTACTGTTTACACTTCCTTAATTTGTCGGGTTCAATATAATTTAATGGGTCGTTCCCCCCCCCCCCCCCCTCCCCCCTCCGTAATCAGTTTTACACATAGCTATTGTGTCCAAATTACACTAGCGTCATCATTTAGAAATCCCCTCCCTTGGCTGATTACGTAAAATGTGAACGACCCCATATAATGTAATGGCTTGTTCTAGAGTCAAACTTATTTTTTGTAAATTTTGATACATTTATTCGTAACGTTTTAGACCGAAAAATCAGATTTCCGATTTAAACTGCTTATTGTGAGTTAGAAAGGAGCTTTAGAAAAATTAAGTTAAAATTCTTGAAAAATGTTTTTAATTATTTACGTTTAACACAAAAAAGAAAGGCCAAATTAAAGTTAAATTTAAACGCGTTGTTTATGTCGTGAAACTGTCCATAGGTATGAAAGTTCTAACTAATTAGTTATACAGATCAAACACTCGTATGGAAGTACCCATTTATCATTAATGTTTATAATCATAATATTATTGATCTTTCATTGTCAAAAGTATAGGCTCTCCTTATATATGTACTTTCCATTTCAAAGATCCTCAATCAATTTTTATATAATTTTTACCTAAAATTAGTGTATTTCTTTTTGTCTCCGCCAGACTAAATAAAAATAGAGATATGTACTTATTCGATCTTCAAAAATATCGTACTTTCAATTAAAATAAACATCCAAAAATGAGACCCTGGCGATGGTACGCTCTTCCCAATTTTGGGTTTCGGTACAACTACAAATATATTTATAATTATATGTTACTTATGGGTCCGGCCAGTCCGGGACTCTACGGCGTAAGACTCCAACCCTAACCCATATTCTTCCACGGTACTTTTAAAAGTACGGTTCATAAACAGTGACCTAACTTGTCTCGTGACAAATATTTTTTGATACAGTTTTTTGCATTAGGTTAGAAAAGGTCTGCTGATGATTTTAACACCCTGGCCAGATGGTTAAAAAAAGCAAGAAATTTATAGGATGTTGGCAAAGGTGGTCAAAAATGGTACTTTGAAAAATGGTAAATTCTCGGTACCACCAGCCAATTCTCCAACTTTGATGGATCCCAAATTTGTTTTTTTAATATTGCCTAAACGATTGTGCAATAAATAGGCATTAATGTGGGGCGACATAAAAATCATAAATTGCCTCTAATTGAGATGTTAATTGGGTGTACTTTCAAAAGTACATCATTCTAGACAATGATGTACTTTTAAAAGTACGTACTTTTAAAAGTGCATTATCTTCGAATATTGTACTTTTAAAAAGACAGGTTTCACGAAAAATGTACTTTTAAAAGTACAGGTTTATAATATATATAGACTACACAATGTGTGCTGGCATGATTAACGTCGGTAAGACGGTAATGGCAGGTAAATTGTTCTGAATCAGAACGGAAGACACAACAGAAACTTTCTGTTGTGACTTCTGGGATTTAGTCGATCTTGAAGGATCCACGTTTCCACCCGGTTATTCCACGTCTTCCAGAGCGGCCTTCAATATACTTTTACTTAATGCGGGGGGTGGGTCATATTTTCTTCCAAAACACAGTTAGTACTTTTGTACTAAGTGGTGGGTCTGCTGCTCATTTCCCAGAAAATCAGTTAGTACAAGGTACTAAGGGGGTGTCCAACCCCAAAAAATCCATTTTACCTCAAATTTCAATTTTGGGAATGGGTTTTTTTTGGGATTTGAGGTTTTTTTCCTTTTTTTTTGGGTTTTTTATTTTGTTTCCTTTTTTTGTAACTTTTTATTTAATTCGACTGCATTGAAAACAAAACCCCTATTAAATAGTGGGTAGACTTTGTCCATTTCCCAATGTTTAAAATTAATGAGCTGTTTAAAGCAATTTATGGGTGGGTATCTTATTTTATATACCAAAACACAGTCAGTACCGTGATTTCTCAACAGTTAGTACCGCAAAAGGGGTGGGTGTCCTAAATATTATCCGAAAAAAAAAAGTTAGTACCGCGAAGGGGGTGGGTGGGTCTTTTTTGTAAATTCCAAAGTTGCACTTAGTCGACGTCACGTACGGCACTTGGTACCTGATCCCCCCCCCCCCCCCCCCCCCCCCCCGCTTAATGTTCACAATCTTAGATCTTGTAACTGGTCTCCGAATTCCGATGTATGTTAACTATTAAATACTGACATGATTGTGTGCCATCAGCATTCAGCAATCTGCTGTTCCAACATAAGATTCCTTTCCTTGTTGTCTATGCATTTCCTCAGCTGAGTTGTTCTGTTCCTCTAGAACTCTCTCCACCTCTGCTACTCTCTTCTGCTCCTCTAGAACTCTCTCAGCTTCTGCTACTCTCTCCTGTTCCTCTAGAACTCTCTCAGCTTCTGCTACTCTCTTCTGCTCCTCTAGAACTCTCTCAGCTTCTGCTACTCTCGTCTGTTTCTCTAGAATTCTCTCCACCTCTGCTACTCTCTTCTGTTCCTCTAGAATACGCTCAGCTTCTGCTACTCTCTTCTGTTCCTCTAGAACTCTCTCAGCTTCTGCTACTTTCGTCTGTTTCTCTAGAATTCTCTCCACCTCTGCTACTCTCTTCTGTTCCTCTAGAATACAATCAGCTTCTGCTACTCTCTTCTGCTCCTCTGGAACTCTCTCAGCTTCTGCTACTCTCGTCTGTTTCTCTAGAATTCTCTCCACCTCTGCTACTCTCTTCTGTTCCTCTAGAATACGCTCAGCTTCTGCTACTCACTTCTGCTCCTCTAGAACTCTCTCAGCTTCTGCTACTCTCGTCTGTTCCTCTAGAATTCTCTCCACCTCTGCTACTCTCTTCTGTTCCTCTAGAACTCTCTCAGCTTCTGCTACTCTCTTCTGCTCCTCTAGAACTCTCTCAGCTTCTGCTACTCTCTTCTGTTCCTCTAGAACTCTCTCAGCTTCTGCTACTCTCTTCTGTTCCTCTACAACTCTCTCAGCTTCTGCTACTCTCTTCTGTTCCTCTAGAACTCTCTCAGCTTCTGCTACTCTCTTCTGTTCCTCTAGAATACGCTCAGCTTCTGCTACCTTCTTCTGTTCCTCTAGAATACGCTCAGCTTATGCTACTCTCTTCTGTTCCTCTAGAGTCTAGAACTCTCTCAGCTTCTGCTACTCTCTTCTGTTCCTCTATAACTCTCTCAGCTTCTGCTACTCTCTTCTGTTCCTCTAGAACTCTCTCAGCTTCTGCTACTCTCTTCTGTTCCTCTAGAATACGCTCAGCTTCTGCTACTCTCTTCTGCTCCTCTAGAACTCTCTCAGCTTCTGCTACTCTCTTCTGTTCCTCTAGAACTCTCTCAGCTTCTGCTACTCTCTTCTGTTCCTCTAGAATACGCTCAGCTTCTGCTACTCTCTTCTGTTCCTCTAGAACTCTCTCAGCTTCTGCTACTCTCTTCTGTTCCTCTAGAATACGCTCAGCTTCTGCTACTCTCTTCTGCTCCTCTAGAACTCTCTCAGCTTCTGCTACTCTCTTCTGCTCCTCTAGAACTCTCTCAGCTTCTGCTACTCTCTTCTGTTCCTCTAGAATACGCTCAGCTTCTGCTACTCTCTTCTGCTCCTCTAGAACTCTCTCAGCTTCTGCTACTCTCTTCTGCTCCTCTAGAACTCTCTCAGCTTCTGCTACTCTCTTCTGTTCCTCTAGAATACGCTCAGCTTCTGCTACTCTCTTCTGTTCCTCTAGAACTCTCTCAGCTTCTGCTACTCTCTTCTGTTCCTCTAAAATACGCTCAGCTTCTGCTACTCTCTTCTGTTCCTCTAAAATACGCTCAGCTTCTGCTACTCTCTTCTGTTCCTCTAGAATTGTCTCAGCCTCCTCTAGAATTGTCTCAGCCTCTGTTTAATTAAGTAACGTACCTCCAGAAGTACACTATTCATTAAACCCGTACTTTTAAAAGTACATTATTTATTAAACCCGTACTTTTAAAAGTACATCATTCAAATATGATGTACTTTTAAAAGTACGATGCAATGTTCCAAAAAAGCAAGCTCCAACAATGAACTTTTAAAAGTACGGGTCGAAAAAGCTATAAAAAATATAAATTTTTTCAAAATAATTATTGCACCGTCGGAGTTGGTACCTCAGTGCTTAGGAAACAAAATTTCATCAAAAAATTCGAACGTTTAGAGTTGTTGGTATTATATGGTATTTCTTTTTTGTCTCCGCCAGACTAAATAAAAATAGAGATATGTACTTATTCGATCTTCAAAAATATCGTACTTTCAATTAAAATAAACATCCAAAAATGAGACCGGCGATGGTACGCTCTTCCCAATTTTGGGTTTCGGTACAACTACAAATATATTTATAATTATATGTTACTTATGGGTCCGGCCAGTCCGGGACTCTACGGCGTAAGACTCCAACCCTAACCCGCCGTAGAGTCCGGACCCCGTTATTTATAATTATACCGATTTATATGACTCAAGTTCGAGAATTATTCACCGCCTTTTCCATTTCAAATTAGATCCTCAATCAATTTTTATATAATTTTTACCTAAAATTAGTGTATTTCTTTTTTGTCTCCGCCAGACTAAATAAAAATAGAGATATGTACTTATTCGATCTTCAAAAATATCGTACTTTCAATTAAAATAAACATCCAAAAATGAGACTCTGGCGATGGTATACACTGATCTTCCCAATTTTGGGTTTCGGTACAACTACAAATTGAAATATATTTATAATTATATGTTACTTATAGTTATGGGTCCGGCCAGTCTGGGACTCTACGGCGTAAGCTAGACTCCAACCCTCACCCGCCGTATACGTAGAGTCTTACGCCGTAGAGTCCGGACCCCGTTATTTATACCGATTTATATGAGTATGACTCAAGTTCGAGAATTATTCACCGCCTTTTCCATTTCAAAGATCCTCAATCAATTTTTATATAATGTTTACCTAAAATTAGTGTATTTCTTTTTTGTCTCCGCCAGACTAAATAAAAATAGAGATATGTACTTATTCGATCTTCAAAAATATCGTACTTTCAATTAAAATAAACATCCAAAAATGAGACTCTGGCGATGGTACGCTGATCTTCCCAATTTTGGGTTTCGGTACAACTACAAATATATTTATAATTATATGTTACTTATAGTTATGGGTCCGGCCAGTCCGGGACTCTACGGCGTAAGACTTCAACCCTAACCCGCCGTAGAGTCTTACGCCGTAGAGTCGGCCGGACCCCGTTATTTAATTATACGGATACCGATTTATATGACTCAAGTTCGAGAATTATTCACCGCCTTTAAAGCTAAGTACAACTTTTACTTCGCAGTTATTTGCCTCGGGTCATTTAGACTAGAAGAAATTATTAAGAAATTTAGAATACATTAATATTATCCTTCAAGCATGCAATCGATGCTTGCATTATCAATTAAATCAAGTTTTACAGTAGGTAGTGCGCCATCGACAGTGAGCCGCGTGTGCCGACTGTAGGATGGTTTTTTAGCGCTAATTTCGGCCAGCACAATTTTCTTCAAACAAATAGATATTAAGTATTCTTCCCGACCTCTGATTGCAACAAAAATTAGTAAGCTTACTCATAGACTTACAAGGAAATTGTCCGAAAAGTTTAAAGCATATCCAACCATCAAACATTATGTTACAGCTAAAATCAGCGTATTTCGCCCCATTTTTATCACTATATCAACTCCGATATCCACCAAATTTTTCGGACAGTTGTGAAAGCCTTATTGGAAGGTCGTTGCCAATTTTCAGAATGATCTCATTCAAGGAACTGAAGATACATCCAAATAATACGACAAAAATCAACGAATTTGGTCAAAT